GCTGCAGATAAGCCACTTCCCCTGCTGCTGATTAGATAGGCGGGCTCACATCCGCACTCCAGCCCACTGCCCGGCCTCCAGAGCCGGGCGCCGCGTCCCGCAGACTCCCGGCCCTCCCTGCACAACAGACACCCATCCTTGCCTCTGCCCACAACTTGAAAATCAAGGGGCACTTGGGGCAACCCATCCAAAATACCCCAGGCATCCTGGCATGCCCAGTTCTGCTCCGAAATTCACGGCTGGGTCAAGGACTCTCTTGTTCCTTCGATCTCATCTAAAATCCCAAGATTTTCGCTCTTGCAGGCTTAATCACTTATCTAGAGTGCTTTTCAGTTTCCCCCGGGGTGAAAGCATACCCTGGTCAAAGTACTCGACAGGAAGGACCAAGGTTGTGCGGGGTCAGCCGCGGCCACTCAGAACCCTGGTCCTGAAACACCAGGCCGAGATGTGACTCAGGTCCTGGACCGAGTCACCGATCAAGCAGGGTCCCCCCTCCCACATGAGGGTGACGTCCCCCAAGCGAGCAGCACCAAGGACGCTCATTCTAGGAGGCGGCAACCGGCAAAGGCCGAGACACATTCTCTTCCCACACCCCAAGCCGCACCTCCCTCTGCCTAGGATCAGCCCCTAGCCACAAGGTCTGAATTTTCAGTCTTTTGTCTGTTTTTCGAGACAGGGTCTCATGACATAACAAAGGCTGACTTTGAACTTGTAGGGGTCCTCCTGCCTCAGCCTCCAGCCTCCAGCTCAGCAGAATCACAGGTGGTGCCACCATAGCTGGTACATGTCTTTAACAAGTCCTGCTCAACCGAAGCGGCTCTGTTCCTTAGCTGGTTCACCCCCAAGTCACCAGCCCAACACTGTCCTACCGCATCTCCCCTGGATTTGCCCTTAGAGTGTAGACTCCCAGTAACCCTGCCGTGGGCACGGGTGCGGTCCCCGGCTGCCTTGGGCCTCCAGTCTCCCTTCTCTGTCCTCCACCTTTCCTACTTTCCTGTCACCAGCCTGGGGCAGGAGCTGGGTCCCTCTTAGTCATGGCCAGCCCCACCCACTTCCCGGGCAGAAGGGACCCCGGTGGAGTGGCCGAAGTGGATGTGCAGCTGAGGGAAGACAACACGCAGCCAGGTGCTGTTTGTCTGTCCCCATCACTGGGGACAGAACCTAGGGCCTCTGTAATGAGCTGCACCCCTATCCTTTCTGTATTTTGTGCTTTGAAGCAAGATCTTACTCCATCCTTAAGGCTGGACCTGAACTTGCCACCCTCCTGCCTCAGCCTCCTCAGTGTTGGGTTCACAGGTGTGTGCCACCACGCCTGGCTCCTCAGGTTTTAATAAATCTGCCCACCGACCCCCTAGATGCCAATCCTGACATAACTCCCAACCGCGAGACTCGGAGAAGTGCTCGGTTCTCAGGGCGTCTCCATCCCCCTTCTCCTGTTGCGCATGTGTGCAGGGTTGCGGGGTGGTGAGTGGGGGTGACCCAGCGCTTCATGTTGGCCACTCCAGACAGCTGAGAGTCCTCCCATTTTAGAGACCACTGCAGAGCAACATGCTACAGCCCTGTTAAGGAGACCATGGTGGTGACGACATCTCCCCTTGCCCGGAAGTTCTATTTGGAGTCCCTCTGCATCCTTTGTCCCCTGTATTTGGGCCTGGGGGGAAATGGGGCCCGTCCCGCCCGCTGGCTGTCTCTGGGTCTCCTGCGCTGTGGACAGACTTCCAGAGTCCTTCCTACACTAGGCGGCACGAGGTGTGAACCTGACCCTTCTCCTGGGAGCCACAGCACGTCTGCATCCGCTTGAGGTGAGATCCCTCTGTGTCCCAGCGAGGCTCCTGGCGCTCACCCTCACAGCTGCTCAGATGCAGCGGCACTGTCCTCACCTCTCTGTGCCCGCCCTGAAAGGCCTGCAGGAAGCCCAGCTCCGGCCCTGAACTCGCGCCCGACTGCGCCCACAGCTGCCCCCTCTCTCCTCAATTCTCACTCCTGTCACCTCCGTGATTCTGCGCAGCTCCTCCAGCTCCTCCTAGTGTGACTGTTCTATGGATTCCCAGTAAATCCCTCTTCCCTCCTTTCCCAGTTGCGATGCTAACAGCTTCCTGTCGCTGTCTGGCCCCCCTGGAGCACTTCTATGGCATACAAGGTGCGCTCTTCTCCTGTCCTTTTTCTCTCTTTCCTGGCTGTCCACAGCATGGATTCTAATTCCCCCTCGGACCCGCCAAGTCATCCGGGACATGGGCTGGCTGCTGCTGCTCTGCCCCTCCACCTTGCTAGCACACCCAGGCAGGCGAAGCTCAAGGGCAGGGCAGGGCTCTTGGCCCAGCTGCTGCGCAGGTGCCTCCAGCAGCCCGGAGCCCCTCGCTGCCCACATCTGGCACCTCATGGGGCTCCCCTCTGCTGCCTCACGTTTCCGCCTGTGGCCACTGTCACCCATCCTCTCACCCCAGGGCTCCCAGGACCTACATGTGTGGAACAGCGACACACGCGGGCTCTAATCCACTAGTGCTCCGCACACGGGGCTTTCCTTCTCCAGGGCTGGGGGCTGAGCCCGACCTCATATGCACTAGGCATGCTCTGCGGCTGAGCCACACTCCTCCTCTGTGTGAAGGTCACTTGCTGCTCTTATCCACGTACCCAGTTTGGCTCCTGCTGCTGCTATCAATTACTTTAACAAAGGCCCTAAAAGCTGGAGGATTCCCCTTGTGGACTACAGCTGGGCTTCTCCAACGAGGTCTGCTGTGCAGGTCGTGTCACCTGGGGTCCTTGCTGTCTCCTCTTTCTCCCCACACTCCCGTCTGGCTCTTTATTTGTCGCCCTGACTTTTGCACCCTTCGTGTTCCTGGCCCAGAGCAGCTATTCCTTTGGCCCCAGCCTCCTGCAATAGCCCCGTCCTTCCCAGGGCTCAGGGTCCTGGGGCCGGGTTGACCGCTATCACCAAAGCAAGCAAAACACTGCTTCCCTCGCCCCCACCAGTTGTGATTCCCTTCTTTCTAGACTTGACCCAGGAAGGGCAAGTGGGCAGAACATCCGGTCACACGTGGTAAGGGACAGGGAGCAGCACCCCAGGAGGCAGCGGAGGGAGCCCCTCCTCCCAGGCCCCAGCCAGCAGCCCGGCAAGGTGGCGACTCTCCCAGTAGATGGTAAGGACATTGCGACAAAGATGGACTCAGCCTGAGGACACTGACGCCTCTTCTCTCTCCACACTCCTGGGCTCAGCCCGACTTTCAGTTCCCCAAAGAGTGGGGTGCTGGAGGCTCCATGGCACTGGGATTTTGGGCAAGGCTGCCACATTTCCTGCCTGGTGGCAAGTCCAGCCCCAGGACAGTGCCCAGCCAGTGGGTGAGCTCTTCAGGCTCCCACCCCGGGGTCTGTTCCCCTCCGAATGTCCCAGACAGACTGAGGACTGCTGTGTGCATAGGTGGGAGTGCAGTGCCCACACCCGGGTGCTCGGGCACCATTCCGGGCTGGTAACCCAGGTAAGTGCCGGTGAGCTGGCCATGTGCCACCAGGCAGATTCCTTCCCCGCATGCACCTCTTGCTCTGGCTCCATGTCTTTGTTTATATGGACCCTGTCACTTACACAGACCCAGGAGCCTCTCTCACTGTGGTCTGTGCCAGCACCTGGGCCACCTAGCAGCAAGCAGAAGGCCTTCTGGAGAGCAAACGCATCCAGGCCAGCAGAGCAAGCCATCTGTGTCCCCCGAGTCCCAACACGGGCACCCTGCTGGGAGGCTGTCCTGCACAGGACACAGGGACGGGTCCAGGGCTCTTTCTCTCCCTACAAACCGCAGCTGCTTCCCACCAGGGGCAGAGGATTCACGGGTGTTTGCAACCCACCCACTCCAAATGGCAGTAGCCACTGTCTTGAACGCACAGCTAAGTATTAAAAAATCATTATATCTGAAGTGAACTTGGCTTCTAGGACATTCAGACATGCTCAAGGTGTGTCAGGATAGCCTTCAGACAGGCTGGCCATGGGGACACCGTCCCCTCTGCCTGCGGGGACCCATGCATCTTTCCTTAGCACTGTGTGTCCCGCGGTGCCTGCCCGTGGTTCTGAGATGTAGAAGAAGATGGCGCAGAGTAGAGTAGAGACGGCCTGAGCCAGAGAGTGGGTTTAATTCTGGCTCCAGCGAGCAGTGTTGGAGAAATCTCTGGATTTCTCTGTGCTGCTGCTTTCTGCTAATGAAAGGAAGGCAACGCTTTCTACACAGGACCAAGGCAGGCGTTGGGTGGGCCACCCGGTGGGGGCATCATGCAGAGACGGGAGGTTAGCGTCCCTGACTCAGGTGGCCCAGGCTGGCCTTTACCAGCTAAATGTCCACGGATCACCTCATCTTCCAGCAAACACATACATCTGAGAAGTGGGGTGAACTGGGCGTCTGGCGGTGCCCACCAGTGACCCCAGCACTTCTCCATTCCCATCTCCAAACCCGGGCAGCTTGGAAGACCCTGCCTCCCAAACCAAAAAGCAGCAAAGTGGTGCTGGGGACACAGCCGCTGTCTGGATTGCATTCCTGTGTTTTAAAATCATTGTATCTGAGATGAACTTTGTTTCTAGGACTTGGAAACACCCTGGGACCTCCTGGGTTCAGTCCCAAATTCGGGCTGCTCTCGGGTGCACGGGGGCAGGGAGGGTGTCCACCACGTTGGCTCTTAAGTATTCCCCTGCTCCTTTTTTAGTTTTCCAGATGGCACTGGAGATTGAATTCAGGGAGCTCTGTATATCCCCATTCCTTTTTATTTGAGACAGGCTCTGGCTAGTTGCCCAGACTAGCCTTGAACTTGCAACTCTCCTGCCTCAGCCTCTTGAGTAGCTGGGATCGCAGCCATGCGTCACCACCCCACACCTTACCCGCCCCATCTCCGGCCTCTGTTTCCTCGACATGAAGGAGAGCAGCAGACACATGTGTCCCTTCTCTTACCCACTATCTTGCAAGGACACAGAGGGACACAGAGGTCTCACAGGTGCAGGAAGAGGGACAACAGGAGACTCCACTTACCCATGCCTCTGTCGCCCTTGGAATTCTGCTGTCCCCCAGAGCTGGTGGAAAGGTCCTCGGGGACAGGCATGGGCTCATCACTGTCATCTGGAGTGTCACTGACCGGAGGGCTGTCCTTCCCTGAGGAGACAAGCAGGACTTGAGGCGTGGCGGTCACTGCTCCCCACGGGGAAGCCCGTGGCCTGGGCCTCGCTGTGCTGCCCAGCACAGGGCAGGGTAACTGGCCCAAGGTGAGGCTGCTCAATGAAAGGAACCCTCCCTTTCCTTTCTGTAGCAGATGAGCAGCGTCCCCTTCCAAACACCAAACAAGGAGAAGGGGACAGTCTCTGTAGGCCCAGAGCTGGGGCTCCAGGCTCGCGGCACACGCCTACGTGCACACTCCTGTGCCATGGGAGCCGTGAGGGCATCCCCTCGGGCTCCCACGTTGCTTTTCAGACATCTGCACACAGGTATCTTGGTGCCGGACTGTGCTTCCTCAGTGCTACGTACGCGGGGTAAAGGCCGATTTACAGAGCCTTCCTCACACTTCTGAGTCTGCACCATCTTCGGTCCTCTGACTATTAAACAATGCCATGCTGAACGCCCTGCTAGCCCGTCTTCCCACACCCCTCGGGGGCACCGGGGCCCAAGCCGCCCGAATGTCCAAGGGCATCTTCATGCTGAGGCTCTTCGTGTTTTACTAAACACGTTCCCCAGAAGTGGCTTCCTGTTTCCTCCCCACGTATCTGCCTCCCATGCCGACTCGTTTTTAGGACACGGGACTGCCGCACACTTTCTCTTCAGGAATCGGGGACGCCTTTGGCAGCTGCCTGATTGGATTTACCCTGGCGGGGAGAAGAGCTCCCTATTTGGGGAAGGTATTCCTCACTACCCGCAAAGGAAGTTCATCAACACGACTGCATGGAAGTAAGAGTTAAACACAGTCCACAGAGTGACTGCTCATCCTTCACACATGAGATTTACTGAAGGAAACTGGGTTGTACCACACACTGTCTTTATAGTAACTGCAGTAGAATTTAGTCTGGCTGGAGTCTTTGGGCAGGAGGAACTCTCTCCCACACACCGGGATCCACACACCGGAAGTCATACTGGTGGAACACGCTCCCTTCTGCATGGGTTGGAACTCTCATAGCTTCTGTCCTTGCAGGGCTAACCCGAGTCATGGGACACAAGCCACGTGCAAGCCAGACACAGTGAGAACTGAAGCTGATGTCCACCGACCCATTGCTGCTGCGTGCAGAAGACCAGCTTGGACCAAGGTCCTCACAGGAGTCCAAGAGCAGCGACAGGCAGGGGGCTGCCCAACCTGCTGACAGCAGAGCAGTCTTCACAGACCGACAGACCCAGACTTGGCAGCACGTACGCAGGACAAAGAAAACGTTCATGGGTCCGAAAGGAGCACCAGGCCTGGAGTGAAATCTCTTCACGGGTCTGAATAAACCTCTGGCAAGAATGACCCCAACATCCCAGAGCCCTGGCAAGACCTGTAACATCATTCCCAGTAGGTGAGACAGCCTTTACTGGAACCTTTAAAATAGAAGCCACCCCGGCACCAAGGATGTGCTTTGGGGAATAGTGCTGCTTTTGCTAGGATTAGACATCACAATTTAATATTCCAGCTTAGCTGTAATTAGTGCAACTGGCATATTTTCAGAGAGAGCATTATTGGGTATATTTGGATAGCCAATACAAGATGAATAGTTAAAGACAGGGCAGGATTATAAAAATTTCCCAAGGAAAAACAAAAGGCCAGAGAGAAATTGATTCAAAGTGCTCAAGTTACGCTAAAACCTTGGAAACGGCATTAAGTCATATGGTATTCATTGCTCTAAATAGAAGACCTCCAAGGCCACGCAGCTCAGTCTTCTGTGAGTGAGGAGAATACCTGGGTGGCTCTTCCAGTGCTCAGAGCCTCCTGGAGGCCCGCGACATATGACCAGGAGGCTGAAGGCTTAAACCAAGAAACTGTTCAGTGCAGTAATGGACATGTTGCACGGACCCCCTAACAGTCCGTCCTTTCTTTGAGCACGCACATCCTCTCATCCTTGTCACTCTGAAAACCAGATATGGAGCCCTGTCTTGTGAAGGCCTTCAGGAAGTGTGACCAATGGCATGCTGTGCACCGCCACCAAGTGCTGGCCACGGAAGCCAGGGCCACAGAAACTCCATGCTGAGTCCTCATCCACCTTACTCACTGGATCTGCCAGCACATGGCCCCGGCGCTTCCCTGAAGTCACAAGGACCACAGAAGGGAAGCGTTTTGAATCCTCAGGACACCGAGGCATCCAGGACAGTGCACCTAGAATTTCAGGAGGAGGACTCCGGAGTTGCTGCAGAAAGTGGCAAGGAGGGGAGGAGGAGTGAGTGTGCGCCCAGGAGGGGAAGGACCTCAAGGGGGTTCTGGACAATGTGTCTGCGGCTCTAACACATTAACATTTTATTTTATTTTTTAATAATTTATGTATTTATTTGATACAGGGTCTTGCTACGCAGTTTAGACTCATAGTGATCCTCCTGTCTCAGCCTCCCCAGTGCTGGACTTACAGGTGTGAGCCACCACGCCTGGTTCTGGGGCCAGCACGGCACACTCTGGGTTCCAGGCCTGGTGTACCATGCAGTACTCCGGTCTATCTCCCAAGCCCCATTTTTAACATTTTAATAATCACCGTCATTTTAAATCACACATATAGGACCCATGTGACAACTCTGATTTCATCTAAGATAACCGCCCAGAACACTGGCTCTCAAATGTTGAGGGTTTTAAGGAGTTGGCCCAGGGACTTCTTTTAGTAAGAATAGTACAATGATCTTACGCAGAACTGTAACCTACAGAACAGGTCTTCCAGGTAAGATGTGGACACTGAGGGAGGGGCGGCCAGGCTGCCCAGCTTCTAAAGATCCACAGGTGCCTCAGCGGAGGGCCTGGCCCACGGCGTGGCCTGACGGGGCAATGGGGCGGACCCGAGTCTGCGAGCACCAGCTGTGGTTATGGGGGCAGCGCAGAGGTGAGCTCTCTGGACTTGTGTTTGGACGGCGGTCTTCCCCCGACTTTGGAGTTCTGCGATGCTCTTGGCCACAAGGTCCAGGGCGCACGAGAGATCAAGGGGACCAGAAAGGCACAGGACGGAGCCGACGGGGAGATGCACGGCCTGGGCCCGATCCACGCACAGATCAGCAAGCAAGTCTCATCCGCCTTTTAAATCTTCTCCAAACTGACCCCCTGGGGGCGGGTTTGAACCCAGCCGCCCGCGCTCCCGGCGGGGGAGGGGCCTCTGGAGGCCGCACGAAGCCCCGCCCTCCGCGTCCCACGTGCGCGGTGCCGCCGTGCAGCTTGCTGCGCGGAGGGGAGGAGGGACAAGCAGCAGGGACCACGACTCTAAAACACATGCGACGACGGATCGATGGAGCTCTCCCTGCAGAGAGGACCCCGCGGGAGGAAGGGATAAAACGTCGGTCTCAGTGGGCACTGGGCTGGGAGCGGAAGCAGACGCAGGGACAGCGCTGGGGCACTCATCGCCCCGAGAGCTCGGCTTAATTCAGCCGTCTTCACCTGCTCGGGATGCCTAAGAGCTCATCTGATTTGCCTAAAAGCCCTCCGCGTGCGTCCTGGCCGAGCCTCGCGCCCAGGGACCCTGTCGTCTTCAACTGCTGGAAAATGCCCCTCGGGAGGGAACGCGGCCGCCAAATCCTCCCCACAGGTGGGACGCGGAGCCGCAGCCCGCTCTCTGGGCTCACTATTGAGGACGGCACGGAGGTGACGGGATGCTACAAAACACTCAAGCAAGTCGAGTCCTCCCCAGTGCGACTGTGACCGGGAGGCCCACGGTTTGGGGCACAGTTCTGGTCTGATGCAAGGTGAGACTGCTGGGAATGTCACCCACAGTGTCCTTTAACATCTTCCCCAGTGGCTAGAAAGGGGCTAAAAACCCTCCTTTAGGCCCAGCTCACAGGGCTGTGGAGATAAAAACAACAAATGGGAGTGAACAGTAATAAAAATAAGTGTGAAGTCTCGCCCACCACGCCAGCTGACGCTGGGGTTCAGGAGCCTGTGACATCCACATGGTACCAAGTTCCCACCCTGTCCCAAGGAGCCGCCTCAGCAGGCAGCAGGTTTTAAAACAGAATGATTTGGAGGCTGTAACATAACTTCACTTATTTAGAGAAGTGAATGAAGCTTCTAGGTAAATTACCAATATGCTAATTTACACGGAATTTACCTCTTGCCTGAGTTTCAAATACAGCGCTTCCAGCGAGGAGCTTCAGGCTGAGGAGACAAGGCATGGCTAGCAGGTGGCGCGCTCAGGAGTCCTGGGGCGGGGCTCATGTTCTCACTGCCTCCTGCGGGTCCCTCGCCCAAATGCTGGGGCTCTAACATCTACCATCGCGCATGGGAACATAATTCCTGGGGTGCAGTGAGGCTTAGAGCCCGGAACTCCTTTCCTGCAATAGAGCTGAGCCGTATGTACCCTGGGGGTGACAGGACCTGCACCCCTGGGCCACCTCTGCCTCCCCGTGGGGCCAGGAGTCAGTCACTTAGGTTCCCAGCTCTCCCAGTGTGGTGATGTCCCCTGCGTCCCTTTCAGTGGCTCCTTCTTAGGATAAAGTGACAGAATGCTTAGGATAGTGTTTTGTTAACATACTCAATCAGCGCGAGTTGCTATGATTAACTAGCTAAAGTATTTCCTTTGTCACTTCAGTTTGTATGCACTGCCTTTCCCTGAGCAGATTAGGCGTGTCCCGAAGACGTTTCCTCGTGAGTCCACGCTCCAACAACGCAGTACAAACATCCGGACACAGCCAGGCACGGTGACACACACCTGTAATCCCAGCACTCTGGGAGGCTGAGGCGGGAAGATCCCAAGTTCTGGCCCAATCTTACAGGTCACTTGGGCAACACTGCTCTGATTCAGGTACCTCAGGGGTCCAGGAGGCAGAGGCCAAAGGGACAGGCAGACGCAGAGGCAAGCAGGTCTTTCACTTCCTCCCTTCCTCCCTCGCTCATCCCCTGGCGGAATCGTCCCATAGAGAGGAGACCGGACAGTAACGCAAGGGCTTGGCAAGTGCTGGGAAGACTTCTACAAGAGTCCAGAGCTTTGCCCACAGAGCCAGTGAGCTGTGCTCCAAGAGAGAGAGCTGGCTTTAGGTGTCCTCTCCTCTGTCCCTATTGGTGGCATTCCCCAAGTGTGCGGTCCCAGGTCTGGGAGGCTGAGCGGAATGCAGTTCACTCCTGGGTGAGTCCCAGGGCTCCAACAGCCAGGCGGTTCCCCCAAAAGGCAGAGATATTAAATATTCCTGTGCTCATCATGCGTTTCTCATTTACTACAGAAATCCTATGAAACTGTTGATATTTAAATATTTTACTTAAAAATATTAGTAATATATTCTTCAGGTTATAAAAACGTGACCTACCATACATAACTACCATTTCCTCCAGTTTTAGAGATGAAAGATGTTAACTTTAATTGTAGAAGCATCCACCGAGTGTGGAAGGTGGAAGACGCTTCCCGGACCCTTCCCAGAGTGGCTCTGCTCTTTCCTGCTCCAAACCCGCCCAGAGCGTGCGAGGCATTATGGGGCTCGGCTGGCCACGCCAGGCTTTGGAAAGGCTGCACAAACTGAGTCTAGAGCAGATCTTTCCAAGCAGCAAAGGGCTCTCCTTTCTCAGGAAACCTGTAAGGAGGCTCCCTCCGTCCCCACCCTGTCTCAGCCGCTTCTGAACCAAAAAGCCCCAAGCAGAGCAGCTAGCACAACGTTCCCAAGAACCGTCGGGGGAGCGAGGCTCTCGTTAGCTTCGTAGGCAGGATGTGAGCTCAGAATGCTGACCGATGGTGCTTTTCTTCTTCCCCGTTCCTGGGGACCAAACCTCTGAGCTCCAGCCCCTTGTTTCTTACTCTGTTTTTATTTTTAGATAGTGTCTTGCTAAGTTGCTGTGAAAGGACTTGGACTTGCGATCCTCCTGCCTCAGCCTCCCAGAAGTGTCATTGATTGACTTATTATTTGTGGGAAGCATTTCAGAGAGGGCTCTAGGCCGAAGTACTCAGGTATGTCTTTATTCCATTAAAATAGAGCATGTATACATACATATTTACGTGGGACACCACCGTTCACGTACACGATGGTTAGTGATGGAATCCGTGTAACTGGTACATCCACCGCCTCGAAGCTATCCCTTCTTTATGCCCAGTGCACTACAATCTCCTCCGCTACCTATTTTGAGGTCTATGTGCATTGCTGTCAACTCCGGTCACCTTGTGGAGCACCAAAGACTGTCCCTCCAGCCTCGTGGTACCCCTACCTGTGTCGGTCACCATCCTGACCACCCCAATGTCTATGAGGCCACATACAAGTGGTGACGTCCTATATACTTGGCTTCCTGTGCCTCCTCACTTCTCTTAATACAATGTCTCCCAATGTCTGTGCTGTCCCAAACGAGAGGACTTCTTTTCTAGCACTGAGGGGGCATCTCACGGTTCTTCCTCTGCTCGCCTGCAGACGGACATGGAGGCCGATTCCACCTCTGGCCTCTGGGTTTGGATGTCAGAGGTCCAGTGTGCTGTCCACTGTGCCAGGGAGCCTCTACCTTCACCGGTGCGGAGGCCCCATGTGGACCAAGGGTTCTCCTTTTCTTTGAATGCATAAAATACAATTTAGCAACTACCCCGGGAGAAAACGAGGAAGAGCAGAGCAGGAGAAGCAATGAAAGGGGCTCTTTTTCTTTTCTCTCTCTCTTTTTTTTTTTGGTATGTGCTTTAATTCTAGGGTAGACCAACTGGCCACTGTTTTCCCAGAGTGTAATCTGTATTTATCCTCCCTAATCGATCCACTCTCAGTTTTAACACCGATTTCCTTTTGGAGGTGCTTCAGGAATAAGTTCTCCACCAGAGTCAGAATTTTTTTGTTTTAAACATCCCAGTGTTTGTGACACTAGAATCTCACCCAGTTATAGACTTGAGAGGGGGGCAGGAGGGAGTCCCAGGCCCTTCCCTGTCTCCAAGGTGCCCAGATGCAGAGTTGGAGGCCTCAGCAGAGGCTGGAGAAGCCCAGCGTGAGGCTACAATGTGTTAAACTTCTCTTGTTTCTCATTTAACTAGGTTTCAGCGGTTGTACTTTCATTTAAGATATAAAGTATGCGCTTAATAGAAATAGATTCCAACAGTGCTGCAAAGCTCAGAGGCGCGGTGTCCTCCTCTTCCTCCTTCCTCGCTCGGGCCCTCCTTCCACCTCCACCCTCTAAGAGAGTCCAGGTTAATAGCCACCATTTCTGAACTTTCCCAAACAGAAATGCAAGCGCACAAAAACGCATGTGTGTGTGTGCGCGTAATTTGCTTTCCTTCTTAAAGAATGGGGCCATATTTTTCATTCCTTTCCACTTTCACAAATACTTTGGACTTCTTTCCAAGCTTGTAGGTTCACCTCCTCCTCAATTTCAAGAGTTGGGCATGGATGCATCGTAAGTTTTAGGTGTTAAAAAAAACCAAACTCAGTGAGCTGGCACTCCGATGTGTCGCGTGCTTGGGGGAGTCCAGGGTCAGCTAAGTAGCGCTACGCTGCAGAACCAGAAGCGTCTGCTGTGGCGCACGAAGCCTCTGCACTGCAGGACACGAAGTTGCCACGTTAAGGAACCTAGGGACATTTAGCCTGTGCGGTGCCGCCAGGCCTGTGGCCCACTGCTCACCTCTCCGCAGAGCGCTGGAAGCACATGCCTACCTTTTAAAAGCTGGCTTTGCGTTTGTCCTCCGCTCCGAGTTAAGACCGAGGGACAGGAGGAGCCGCCTGAGTGAGGGGGCGGGGCCTGTGAGCTGTTGACACCACGTCCAGCTCAGTGAAACTCAGTGGAACTCGGGACGCCCTCTCGGGTCACTCTCTAGGGCATAGCTGTCCCAGAGCCCTGCAGTTCTCTGTCACGACTGCTGACCATGACCAAAATCTAGGACCCAATGAAGACTACAAAACCCAAGATGGTAGCTCAGCCAGGGCCCATGGGTCGCCGAGGTGCCAGTCTCTTGGGATCGATGACACCCTGCAGGACTCTAAAACATAAAGCTCATGTCCCCAACGGCGCTACTGCTGGCACACCTGCCAGGCTCCAGGCGTGGACAGCAGGCATGCCAAGGCCCTTGCACTTGGCTGTGGTGTGGTCTCACTGGACTGGCTGGTAGCCTTCCTCAGCACCATCCAAGGGGACAGTCCACGGCCCCCCAGGCTCCCCAAGCAGTGAGTCCCCACTTCTAGTGTATCTCACAGTGAGAAGTACTGTGTCCCCCATGGCAGCAGGGAGCCACGCAGGGCCTGTGCAGAGCGAGCGCTCAAGGCTCCGAGCTGGTCCTCAGTCCAATTCCTCCAGCTGTTTCTCTCTGTCTTGCTCTACTCACTCCTTTCTCTATTATTTACATGATTTGGGGGGCATGTGCTTGGATTCTAGGGTGACCAGCTGGGCAGTGTGTTCCCAAAAAGTATAATCTGCATGTGCCCTTTCCAACTGATCCTCTCTGTTTTGACACCAAGATCAATGTCTTTGTGGAATTTTGGGGATTGGGTTCTGCACTGGGCCACCCGTGAGAGAGGAAGGCATGGGGCTCAAGGGCCCGCCTTGTCTCGGCCCTTCGGGAGCCCCGCCCCCGCCCTGCTGTGGCCGCACAGGTGTCTCAAAGGCCTCACCTGTGACGTGGGGCATGTCCTGCCTCTCTTCTGGATCCATTGTCCTCAGGTTACCTGAGAGAGAGAGAGAGAGAGAGGAAAAGGCTTTAGTGTGAAGCAAAACCACTCCTAAGATATGAGAGTGAGCGAGAGAAAGGCCCCCGTGCTGAGAACAACCAGGCTATCTCGCAAGGGGAAGGCGCTTGCCTCCTCACACCACCCTTGCTGGGGTATCAGACTGGCCCAGGCCTTGATCCTTTTAAAAACAGCATTGCAAAGATTTATAAAAATATCACCACGAGCACAGGAGGACCGAATTTGTTATTTATTGTTAATTTCCTACCGCATAATAACCCAAAATGCAAACTGACTGCAACAAAATTAAGCAGAAAATTAAATGGCCCTGGGTCATTGTAGGCACAGGACTCATTCTCTGGGCTGATCCGCAGTTATGTTCTTTCTAATTTACTGAGCATGCATCGATGAACCTTGAGTCAGCGTGGTGACACGCGCACAATCAGCAATCAAAAAAACGAAGCAATTTGCTGAAGAATGTCTCATTTACCCAGGCGGGGCTGCGGAGCTGAGCAGGGACTGCGCTACCCTACCTCCATCAATAATGAATGCACCTCCAGCTGGCAGGCGCAGGCGGGTGGGCAACGACGCGGGCTCCTGCTCCATCCCTCGTTCCTGCTCAGCCCGGCCCTCACTCGCTCCCCAAGGCAACTGGCCGGCCGGGGCGCACCCACTGTTCCTGCCTCGCTGGAAGTGCCAGCTCCTGGGTTGGCTGAGACCGAAAAGGCACGACTTGGACGGCTGCCCTGGCTGGCCCCATGAGGCCTGCGCTCCGCGGATGGCCCGGGAGCAGCCGCAGGCACAAGGAGGCACCCAGACAGAGAGCACTGTGCTTCGCCCGGCGCGCCTGCAGCACATGGACTCGAGCAGCTCTGGGGTGGAGGAATCTGTGGCCACCAGAAGGGGGTCCTGGTGACACCCGCTCGTCATGGGCTCTGCCAGATAAAATCCAGAAGGGCTTTCCCAGCAAGCACACGGAGGCCCTGTGCTCAGCTTCACGGGTCCCTTTGTCCTGCACAGCCACTGTCACCACAGCTCAGATGTATACACAGGAGCCGAGACCTCCAGTGCTGGAGGATTTGGGGACTGTCCCTTTCCGAGTAGGCTAAAAGCTGTGGGCAGCGCATACACGTGTGCAACAACACATCATGACAATGTATGTACAAGTAATGTGCGATACACATTATGAACAAATGTATGTCATTGTACATGTGTATGACACACACGACATACGTGATATGTATACCACATTTTATTTTATATATAATATATGATACACTTCATGACATGATGTGTGACATGTCACTTTTATAAGTAGCGGAAATGATACAAATGATACACAGAATGACACAGGTGTGTGATATGGATCATCTCATATATCTTACATGTACAAGTCTGTGTTATAGACACAAATTTACACACCTCTGTGCCTTTCAAATTTCACAGGATCGGCAAGGAACATGATTTTCCACTTCAGGAGTATCTCTGTTAGTATCACCCTTTTCTTGGTGGACAGGGTTTTGTGTGTGCATAGCACGTGGATTTGCAAGGCTGGTGCCTGAGAGAAGGTACAGCCACACAGCTGTGGCCACAGAACAGCCCAAGGCCCCACAGCCACAGAGGCTACAGGCCCAGAGTGAGGGCCCACCAGCCACTGAATCAGGACCGCCAGCCCGGGAGGAGGCACAAAGCAGCCAGAGTGTGGCCCCGAATCCTTGTGTCCAGAGTCCCCTACACCTTCCATTTTTGCAGTGCTGGGGATTGAACACAGGACTAAGTGGCCCTGGCTGGCCTTGACCTTGCGGTCCTCCTGCCTCAGCCTCCTGAGTAGCCCGCGTTGGAGGCATGCTCACCACACCACTCTTGTCTACATTCTTACTGGAAGAAAAAGCAGAAAGCTGAGATGCTTCAGAGACCATAAACACTGTGCTGATGGAAAGAGACGCTGGTGAGCGACACCTGGGCTTGCAGAGCAGCCAGCACTCAGGATGCAGCAGGACCGCAGCTCCGGTTTGCAGCAGGTGAGCACAGTCTTGTCACAGGGCTTCTCACACCTGTTTTTGTTTTTTTTAATGCATTCAGTACCAGGTCTACAGGGTCTCATTGCAGACATTGGACTCATAGTGATTGTCCTGTTTTCAGCCTCCCAAGTGCTGGGATTACAGGCGCGCACCACTACACCCAGTCTCAATTGCCATCTCAGCGCGCCCCAGGGGGCGGGGCTGGCATGGCACACTGGGGATCGAACCCAGGTCCCTGCGTCTGCCTAAGCAGGCGCTTTAAACTGCTGAGCTATCTGGCCGGCCCTTCCAGCCTGTTCTAAAATGCCCTAAACATCCCCACGTCAGCTGGGAAGTGTGCGGAGTTCAAACTGTGCTGAACACAGACTTCAATGCCAAATGTCAGTACTGACTTTGAACTTCTTGTTCCATGAAGGAGTCTTCACAGCTTTTAAAAAAGTAAGTGAATTCCTGCAATATGCGCTGAGAGCTGATGATTTCTCTGTGTATTTCTGTACTTTTTATAAAAATAAGACCCTAAACATGTTCCAACATACTGTCTCAAAAGAGCCTTTCATTGTATTCCATGTATCTTTTTGTTTCAGACATACATCATCATTATAATTCCAGCGGCGATCAAATCCTCGGCTGAGTTGCTTGCTCCCCTACTAGCACTGTGTACTCAGGTTAGCGCCAGCTGTTTCCTTAGGCTATGCTGTTGGCTGCAAACACACACACAGGTGGAGGGGAGGGGGCCGACGGACAGTGAGCTAGGCAGACCTCGTCTGAAGTGGGACCCCCAAGTTCTGCCGTGGCTGTCCCTCCTGGGCTGTCGGGCCCCTGGCCCTGGTCACTTCACAAAGGGATCCAGGTGCCCTTGGAGGGCGTGAAGAGAGGGGCCACGAGGCCACAGCACCTGGAAGGAGTCTGCTGAGAGCCTACTGGGGGCAGGTGTGCCCGGCAGAGGACCGGGAGCTCAGCCACTGTGCACGTGGGCCACCACACGTTGTCACTGAGCAGCCCATGGCCGCCGCCCACCCTGACACGTGGCCCCAGTGGTACACGCTGCCTCACTTTGATCTCCACATGCGCTTTCAGCCAACCTTCTGTGGCGGAGGGGGCTCCTTGGGCACGTGACCAGGACAGCCACAGGGTGTTTCTTGCGGGGCCTCCACTCCCACCACAGTGAAATGTTTAAGAATCCTGAGCCTGAATCTTCAGTGTCATGGGCCTATGAGCTCTCAGCCCGACTTGCCTGGCCCTGCAGTCACCTAATGAGCCCCACACTCCCAAACTCCACATTCGCATCTCTTGGGATCAAAAGCATTGGCTTCATCACAAGAAGACAGGTTTTAGGCCAAGAGCAAAAGGCGAATAACCAACCCGCAGCCAAGAAGGGCATCTGCGCTCTGCTGAGAAGCAGCCTACCCATCGGCACCCAGCGCGCTCCGAGGAGCCCTGAGGTCTCGCCCACCTGGCGGCATCCATGAGATCTGCACCCGCTTCCCCTGGGCAGCCCCTCAGCCCCGGAGGCTGCGCAGAGGGCCCTGCAGAGGTGCGGCCTCACCTGGCCAGCTGTGTTTTCCCAAACCCCCACCAAGAGGAGAGCCCACAGTGCCTAGGCCTGCAAGGGGACGGGGCAGACACAACGGAGACTTCACCCGTCACACGGACAGACTGGGATTTTCGGCTTTGCCAGGAAACCCGATCCATCTCAAGCAAGAGCCCTGAGAACCCGCAGCAGAACACAGCACTAGGAGGGTGCTGGCTCTCACAGGTGTGCTTCCGCTGAGCATGAGCGCTTTTATTGTTTCTCTGGAGTGAGCAGTTCTTGATCTGGCTCGGGGGAAATAGATGCAGAGATAAGTGCAGGCCAAGGGGACAGAGGCCCTGGGGTGTGGGGGACACTGTGGTCACCGCTGTCCCTCCCATCCAAGACTCCCTCTGCCTGTCCCTCCCCTGCTCGGGCTCCACATCTCCCACGTCCCCTTCTCCCCCTGCGTCCACACATTCCATTCTCCTACCGCTGCCTCAGTTCAGAGGACACCCCCACCTCTGCAAAGAGGAGCAGGAGCAGCAGCTGGGCCAGAGTGTGGAAAGGGCCTCTGTGCTGGGGACCAGGAAGGCCTCCTGCCTCTGTGGACGCCCAGAGCCCCCCTGAGGCCCCAGGCCCTGCACAGCTGGTGCCCGCACCAGGCCTTGCCTCCTTCGTTCGGGCCTGGCTGGCCCTGGCTCAGCCAGAGAGAGGGATGTGTCTGGCCCTGGGCTCTGGCTGGCTTCTTCAGAGTGGCCCGATGCCACCCACGTGGCCAGCAAGTGCTCACGAGGGCCCAGGCAGTGCGCGGATCTCAGCGCCTCCTTCTCACCCTCTGAGAGCAGTGCTCACGGCTTCTCCCAAGCTGAATCTGGATGACTATGTGCACACAGAAGGCCAGGTGCCTGGCACGAGTTGCCACCCTCTACCCCCTGAGAAGACAGATCTGCTGAGGAGGTGGCGCTTCCACTTGCCACGGGACCCAAAGCCCAGCAGAAATCAGCCCGCCCTGCAACCAGCAGAAGCTCCCCGAGAGCCAGGTGTGATGGCACATGCCTAGTATTCCAGCTGTCTGGGAGACTGAGGCAGGAAGATGGCAGATTGAGCCCAGCCTAGGCAGGTGAGTGACACTGTCCCAAAATAACAAGAATCAGAAGGCCTGTGGGTGGAGGTCAGTGGGAAGCCTTGCATTCAATCCTCAGTATATGCCCATATGGAGAGAGCACGCAATCCTCTGATATATTTAAACAACTCAATTATGTTACTTTTTTCTTTGTTTTCTAAGCAAACAGCTTTGTCCTCCTGTGAAACAGTACAGGCAAGTGTTTGCAGCATATTCACCCACATTTCAGCAGTCCAAGCAAAGGCACAAAAGGAGAGTGCATCAGCCTGGGCAGCTTTATTTTAGCAGCCTACAGATGCCTGGCATTTAAACGGTAAGCTGCGAAGCCTTGTGAGAGTGCAGA